GGCACCGGCATGCGTCAGGGCAGCTCAACGCTCTGCACTCTGCAGGTGCCGGCTCTCCGGCTGCCCCCGAGAAGGCGGCGCCCTTCAAAACTGCAGATTATTTTGTACAGTAGGCAGGATTGTTCTAGAATTCACAGGGAGAGGCGGAGGAACTGAACGGCTAGGACAGTCAGCGTGAAGCGGGGGGCGGGGGGTGCGTCTCCCCAAGGCTATCAATATTCACAAAAGCAGCCCGCAGCGGCGAACCGGCCAGGGACCCCACGGTCCAGCTGCCTGCCCGGGCCCTACCATCCTGGCGGCCCCTGGAGCCGCCTCTGCCTGCTCCACCGCCTTGGGATGTCTTGGGGGGCGGGTCCCCGACTGGGCAGGGCTGGGCTGCCTGTCCAGTGGCCGCCCTGGTCCGTGACGCTGACCCTCGACCCTCTGGGGCCGCCCAGCTCCTTCCTCTGTGAGGTCCGCAAGGGGCGGGTCACTTGGGGCTGCGCAGCCGCTGGTTCTGCTCCTGGCTTTGGGGGGGGTGTTTGTCTCATGCCGCCACCCCACCTCCTGCCCCCTCGGAGCCTAGAGGGTACCGAGGCCCAGCTGGGGGCGGGGGCAGGCTGCGGCTCGGGCGGCTTTCCCAGAGCGCGCGCCCTCTCCCTGGCTGGCGGGTCACGGGGCAGCTCCAGCCTCGCAGAGGTGGCCGAGAATAAGCTAGGGTCACCGGGGAGTCAGACCACCCGCCTCTCACCCCCTGCCCCCCCGCCCTCATGGCTGCCGTGACCCCGGGTGTGAGGGCCAGCGACAGCCTCGAAGTCTGCTTACTGGCCTCCACCCACGGAGGCCCTCGCCCACAGCGTCTCTGGGAGGGCTGGGCCCACAGTGGGCGAAGGACAGCAGGTGCTCTGGCAGCCCGGCTGGGGTTGGGGGCGGGCGGGGGGACATGCGTCTGCCCGACAACGCGCCTCTCCCTCCGCGGAGCCCTGGTTTGGCCGCGGCTGCCTGGGGCCTGCCGGTTCACCCACAAACGCTTTCACGCTTTTTGCTGCCTGGAGTGGGCATCGATGGGGTGGGGGGTGGGGCGGGGAGCGGGAGGGATGGCCTGAACCCCTGGGGCCGGGGGGCTGAGTCCGGCCTCCCGGACCCTGCGGAGAGCCTGGGGCCTGGAGCCCACAGTCGGGCTGGGCGGGAAGCTACAGCCCCAGTCCAGCCGGTAGGGCGGGGCTGGCCCTCCCCGCGGGGGAGCGGGGGCTGCACCCCGACAGCCCTCCCTTCCACTCCGCCAAGGCCCGGGCACCCTAAGTTGCCGGGGCGCTGGTCTGGCCCAGCTCACGGACTGGGCCTGCGCTCAGCCGGCGCACCCCGCTCTCCCCCCCCCCAGCATGGCTCACTCATTCAGCAAGTGCTTAGTGAGCCCTCGGGGTGCCCAGCGGGCGGGGTGGGGGGCCGGAGCCCATTGGAGGCGGCCCCCAGGGCGGAGGGTCCCTGCCCCTTGCCGCCCCCCGAGCTGGCTGGCTTTGTCCTTTCCTGTGTCCGCCCAACCCCCTGCCCATGGCCCCCCACATCTGTGGCTCTGGCTCAGCGCTTTGCAGCTACATCGCAACCCCCTGCAGCAGCTGCTTCACACGCGGGGAAACCGAGGCACGAGGCTCGGCAGTCTCCCCCAGGCAGCGTGGGGGCTGGAGGGGCCCTGAGGGTCTCCGCCTCGGCGGGGCTGACCACACAGCGCCCAGCTCCTCCACTGCGCCCCCAGCCTGCTGCTCCCGCGTGGACAGGGTTCTCTCTCTGCGCCTCCTTGGCGTACCCCACCCTGCACCCCCAGCACCCCCGGCCCCCGCGCCGCCTGCCCACTCGTCCTCATTCCTCAGGGTGCTCTGTCCACCCCACCGTTCCCTCCAGGAAGCCTTCCCAGGCCGTGCCTGCCTCTGCCCTGGCCCAGCAAGGGCTGCCCCCCAACTTCTTCAGACCTCTGCTCCCCAAACTGGAATGGGCCAGCCACGCAGCAGGCACGGGGGGTCCTGGCCGCGTCCACCCAGCTGGTGGCCTGTCACCCTGTATCTGTTTATAAGAAACACGCAACTGAGTGGACTTGGGCCCAGCACCCCTATTCTCCTGCTGCCCCCAGCCGTGGGCTGCAAGCGGGCTGTCCTCTCCCAACACATGGCGTGGCTGCCCGAGGGCACCTGCTGGCCCAGACAGCGTGGACCCGGGAGGAGGGAGGCAGTCGGAAGCCGGCTGCTCACACTGCCTGCTGCGCTCAGGCCCCCCGGGGACCCACTTCTCGCAGACGCCGGCCCTGGGGCTCCCCAGGGGAGGCTTCCGGGTGCCAAGGCTCCTCATAGCTCTGCGTGGCTTCCCGGAGGCCCGTGTGGCCGCTGGACCTGCCCGCTGGCCCGGCTGGCCACGGGGGGTGCCCTCTGGGTGGCCAACCTGGGGCAGGACACCCCCTCCTCGGGCGGCTAGTGGGTCTTTGGGCCTGGGCAGTTAGCCCCACACCCTCCAGGGGCCGGGGAGCCCCAGGCACGGCTCCCCCGGGGACTTCTCTCCCCGTCGGCCTGGGCCGGGCCCCGCCTGGGCACCCACTTCTCAGGCACTGTCAGCGAGAGGCACCCCTCGGTGGTCACCCCGCAGCTCCCGCGGGCTCTGGGCTTCACTTTCTGGCCCCTGCGCCACTGCCCACCAGCCTCACCCACCACTCCCAAGTCCAGGCCTGTCCACGGGAGGACGGCCTCTTGCTCTCGACCACCTTGAGGTCAGAGGCCCCAGCAAGCGCCTGGACACCTGGCCGGGCCCTCGCCCTTGCTGGGCCCGCTGAGGCCGGCTGCGCCTCTCAGGGGCGCCTCGGCCCGCCCGGGGGAGGTGGTCTGGCGCCCAGAGCGGGCGGCGGGGCGGTGGCAGTTGGCCGCCAGCCACGCCCCAACGGCTCCAGGCGCTGACTTCACAGGAAGGATTCTGGGAGGTGCCACGTGCCCCACGACCCCACACTGGCTTGGAGTGAGGCTCCGGCAGCAGGCACAGTGCCCGAGCGGCCTCCTCAGCTGCCCAAACCCATGGAATGAACTCAGGCGCAGACCAGGCGCTAAGCGCCCCGGGCGTGGGCAACAGGGGCGCCTCAGGCCTCTGAGGACTCCGGCCCTCCACGCAGGCCGGACCGCCTGGGCCGGGCCAGCCCACCTGGCTCCTCTGGCCCCGAGTCCAGACTGGCCCAGGGCCCTCAACTGCCTCGGGCGTCGGTTGGAGCACGGAACCCTCACGGTGCGGCCGTTGGGGTCAGGCCTGGCCGCCAGCTCCCCTTCCGCGGCAGCTGCCCAGTGTGCTGGCCCGGGACCTCACTCCCCACGGGCCCCCGCCGGCCCTGCGGCCCTGGACCCAACTGGCAAGTTGGGCAGTTTGAACCCCCAGCTGCAAACGGCACCCGCGGCCCTGGAAACTGCTCCCAGGGCGCCTGGGCCCCCCAGCCCCTCCGACAGTGCTCTGAGAAGGACACCCCCACCCACCATGGCTGGTCACTGGCTGGCGACCCCGGTCGGCACTGCCCTGCCGTGTCCCCACAGTGACGGGCCTCTCCTGCCTCCCCAGCGCTGAGAATGGCGGCACCTCGGGGCGCCGGGCCTGCCGGCCGCCTTCCCGCTCTGAACCCCGTGAACTCATAAGCACCCTCAAAGTCCCGCCGCCCCTGGGGGCTTTGTCGGAGAATATAGCCCTTGCGGTCTTGGAAGCGGCCCCTGCCCAGTGACCGCTGAGTGGGCTGTCCAGGGCTGAGTGACCCTTGGGGGCTTCCCCACCCCATCTGGCCAGCAAACCCCCTTGAGGCCCCAGTCTGACCCCCCATGTTGTCCCCAGGCACCCAAGGCCACCAGGCTGTGGACTTTGGAACCGGCCGAGACCCCTGGGCCCGCTGCCCCCACGGCCGCCCCAGGGCCGCCCCGGCGCAGGTAGTGGGCGCAGGCGGCTCTCCTGCCTTCCTGAAGCCTCGGCCTGGGCTTCAAGGACGGGCTTTCCTGGTGGGGAGCCCGAGCTCCTATGGGCAAGCGGGAGCTTTTCAGGCAAGGATCTTGGACAAATGCAGCCCGAGACCCAGAGATGACCGCTAGTCTGTGAGGCTGGCGGCCGCTGCTCTCCCGAGCGCCAGCACAGCCCTGGGCGGGCCGCCCACGCCCGCCTCTGGCCCAGTGGGAAGTGGGGGGTAGCCAGCCCTGGGGCGTCTTTGAGGGCTCTGTCTGTCCACCCTCGACACCCCCCAAGCTACTGAGAGCACCCGCACCCTGGGGAGCAGACGCAGCGGCTCTGCTCAGCCCCTCCCGGCGCCTGCGGGGTGGGAAGGTGGACTGGGGGGGCCAGGACGGAGGCCCGGGGGCGAGGCCACGAGGGGGTGCAGGGTGCGGACCCTGGGAGTGGGCTGGGCTCTGGCAGCCCACCGCTCCCGCTGCCCTCTGGCCAGTTCTCTTTGGGGTTGGGGGCCACAGGCCACCCCGACTTTACCTCCTGGGGCTCACTGGCGACGTTAGACTTCCCGAGGCGCCCCTCACCCCGCGGCCTCCAGACGCCCCGCCCGCCCCAGCCCGAGGATGGAAGCAGCTGCTTGTCCCACACAAGGCTTCTGGGCGTCCTTGTGCGCAGGTCTCCGAACTGTCACCAGCCGCCGAGGCGACAGCGGGGAGCCCTGAGGGCTCTGAGGGGCCAGCGGCGCCCAGGGCGGGGCCACCTCTGCCGCTGGGCCTGCCACCCCGAAGGAGGGCGTCTGCGAAGGGGGGCGGCGGGTGCTGGGCCCGGGACTCCCGCCGAGGGCCGTCACCCCACACAGCCCTCTGGCGAGCGGGGGCGCCGGGCCGGGGCGGGGGGCTGTGGCTGTGTCCTCCGTTGCTGCCAGCCCGGGCCCCCCTCGCCCCACGCAAGGTCTCCCCTTCCCGAGAGCGCCAGGGCTGGGTGCCAGAGGCCAGCAGCCGCAGCGGGGCTGGCTGGCTGGGTGCTCCCCAGAAGCATGGGCCGGCGGCCTCAGGGTCACTTTGCAGGGCGACCCCCACCACGGCCAGGGCCCCTGCCGGCCCAAGAGCAGCCGGAGGGCCGGGGGGTGGGAGCCGAGCACCTGCCAGGCCCAGCGCTGACCCCCCAGGGTCAGGCTGTCCGGCTGCAGGCTGGGCC